GGCAAGCTGCTCAGTTGCTCCAAATATCCATCTCTCTTTACAAACTATCATTGAAGCCTGTCAAAGCAATGTTGAAGCACCCAGCATTCACCTCTGTGAATGTCATTATGGACAGAGGCTTGCATTATGTTAATTACATAAGCTGAACAATGTAATCTCACCTGATTATCACTATTCTTTCCTGTTGTCCTTCTCCTCTCTCCAGGCCCTCTGCCTCAGCATTTTTGCTTTTCTTTCATTCATCCCTTTCATTAATCCATTCATTCATCCCTGCAAGAAATATTTCCTGAATATCTCCTATGTGCCAGGTACTTTATATATACAAGTGGTCCCCAATTCACTATGGCCTGACTTATCATTTTTGTCTTGTTTTGTTTACTTTATGATGGTTGGAAAGAGATACACATTCAGTAGAAACCAAACCATGCTTTGAATTTTGAATTTCGGTCTTTTTCTGGGCTTGCAATATGGAATACCATACTCTTTAATAATGTTGGGTGGCAGCAGTAAGCCACAGCTCCCAGTCATTGATGCAATCACAAGTGTAAACAAACAATACTCCACAGTGTACTGTATTCAATAAATCACACAAGATAGTCAACGCATTATTATAAATAGGCTTTGTTTTAGGTGTTTTTGCCCAACTGTAGGTTAATATAAATACCCTGAACATATTTACAATAAACTAAGCTAAGCTATGATGTTTTGTTAAGTGTACTAAATGCATTTCCTACCTATTATATTTTCAAGATTCTATGAATTTATCAGATATAACCCCATCATAAGTCAAAGTGTGTGTGTTTATTCATGTATATAATTTATATATATGTATATAAAATGAATGTATGTGTCAATAATAAGCCAGGTAAGTTTCCTGCCCTTGTAGATTTTCACAATCTTCTTTCACATGTCCTTCACTTTAGTTGGAGCTAAAGTAGAGTAGAAAGACACTTTAATTATAATTAGGCTTCCTGTGTTCTTCTACCAGCCATTCTACAAGTCTATCCGGTAAGTAGATTCATCTCTCTGGGAATAATTTTTCCCTTCTGCAAATAACATTGTTGAACAAGACCACTAAAGATTTCTCACATGGGATTTTTCAGTGGTTCCTAACTAGTCCCTGCTTTCCTTTTGTTCTTCCCCCAGCACCCCATACCTACCTCCTTCCCAAACACACATTTTATTCTGGACATAGTAGCCAGACAAATCTTGTTTAAATGTTAAATTGGATCTTGTTTTTCCTCTACTCAAAACTCTCCAATGGCTTCCTGCCTCATTCAAAATAAAAACCCAAAGTCCATCCTGTATCTATCTACCAGGTACCAGCTCCCAACCTCGCCCACAACCACTATTGCTTTCACTCACTATGACCAGGCACACTGGCCTCCGTGCTATTTCTTGAACACTCCAAGCACATTCCCTTCTGGGAACTTTTATATTTGCCTTTCTATCTTTCAGGAAAACTCTCCTCCCCTCTCCAAGATTCACATGGTTCAGTCCCTTCCTTGAATTATTTGCTCAGGTGTCCCCCTTTCCAGAAGGCATTCCCCGATCTGATCACTTCACATAAAGTAGCATCTCCGTGTCACTCTCTGCCCTTACCCTGCTGTTTTCTTTTTACTCTTCCTGATTGCTTAACACACCATTTATTTCCTTGTTTAGCTTCTGTTTCTATCCACTGGAACATACACTCCATTAGAACAGGGATCTTTGCCAGTTATATCCCCAGTACCTAAAGTGGTGCCTGACACATAATACATGTTCAATAAATACTTGTTGAATGAATAAAACAATAAATTTTTCTACTAATAAGATAAGTTTCACTGTGTGTCCAAATTTATTCATACTTAATAGGGTTCAAATCTGACTATTGAAACCTAAAGAGACAAGTCAAATATTGAAGTTACACTGTATAGTGGGTTATGCAGAATATTTTTTTTTAATTTTTATTGTTGGTTGTTCAAAACATTACATAGTTCTTGACATATCATATTTCACACTTTGATTCAAGTGGGGTATGCAGAATATTTACCAATAAAAATGGACCACAACCTGAAGCCAATCTGTTCCATTCCATAAAAATTTTTGCTTAGTAGCATGATGAGTTATAGTAAGATAAGTTCTCAATATCATTTCTTCTATGCAGTTCCTTTCGGTGAGAAGAGTAGGCCTTACTGCCCTCATTTGACTTAAGCCTGAAATTTGGTCATTCGTCCAATGCATACAGCCCTTCTGAGGCAGAGATAAAATAAGGACATAAATATCCTACCGATTCCACAAGTTGTTTATTTTCAACATTGATCTACATAAGAACGGGAAGATCTGGGTATAGTATTTAAGAGCATAAGATGATGTACAGAGTAAAAAGTGTAGATTAACAACCATGAGGTACTTTTTTCACTGAAGCAATTGCATATGTCAGGGGTTCAAAGTACTGTTTCTCTTATGTATTTTTATTCCTCCAATGCTTGGCCCATGTTCAATTCAGATGTGCTGATTAAATGAAAATATCAGCCTCATAGTTAAGAGGAGCCTATTGAAAAACAAAAACTCCTCCCTCCAGATAATACCCTCATCTCCTTCACAGACCACCGCCTTGGAGTCATGCTCAGTCACAAGCACCAACCGAGGGAGAAAGAGAGAGAGAGATAGTTTCCCTTGAAGGAGAAGAAAAAGAAACCTCTACGCATTGTGCATCCACATCTGATTGCACTGGTGCTTCCTATCTAGTTGAGTGCAAGGACAACCTTGCCAGTTCCCAGTGTGTTTCAGTACCTCTGAGGCACCACAATGACACACATAAGGTCGGCGAAACTTACATGTAAGTAGGGCATATGGCAAGGGGGAGACCCATTGACAAATACAAATGGACAAATACATATATATACTTCAAATCCTCTTCAGAATTAGGCAGAATACAAATCACAAATAAATTTATATAGAGAAAAAATATATACATGCTGATTTTGTCCAGTTATACTTAGAAATGTACCCGTATGCATGTACACAAACATATGCACAGAGATAATAATGTATATCTCAAGGTATGACTGTGAAATGTAAATGAGGTTACATCAAGTGCACAAGAGTACCAGGCACATAAAAGGTTAGCTTTTGATTATGTATTACATATTTTTAATAGTAGATATTACTATCTATACATATATTTGAATCAGATTCATGTGAATACTCATCATCAAAGCAAAATTTCCTTTTCAGTCTCTATGCAGAGCATCATGGAAATTCTGATATATGGGAGCCAATAAAAGAAGCAGTAGTACAGAGTGTGTTGTTACAGCACAGAAGGGAAATCCTGCTGGTAGAAAGCTGGTAAACAAAGCTTTCCAGACATCCTTGCTTGAGAGAGAAGACCTGGATGTGGAGAGGGATGAGCTGTTGAGAACTACTCTAGGAAAAATCAGTCTCCAAACAGTCCGAAGAAGGCGTCCCTAAAGTTACTGAGTAAGGGGGAGGGGTTGCTATCCCTCAGTAGCCTTGGAAGGGAGAGCCCCCAGAGTCCTCGGGAGTTTAAATCAGCCAGAAAATCCTGCAGAGGCTATTAATCCACCAAAGTCGAATAGCTTGGAGAAAATCTGATTAACTCCACCTCTCCAGATGGGCTCCAAAGTGAAATGTATATCTGGTTGCTGAGACTCAAACAAGGTGGAGAAACAGAGAGGTGAGATGAAGAAAAAAAAATAGGAAGAGGGAGCAAGAAGTGTTGGATACCTGTGTGTACAGATTGACCCTGACATTGATTTGCAGCAAGTTACAAGCTCTAGAAACTCAGCTTAGAAAATGTGAATAAAACTGTCTCCTGTCCACTTGGAAGAAAGCTATTTTTCTTCTCTTCCAAAAGGGTGCCAGAGAGGACAGCTCCCTCTTGACCCTGGAAACTATTTAAGAATTCTTTCCTGTGTTTTTCTGCTGCAGTGACCCTGGATGGGGACTTCCTCTATCCACCAGACTTCTTTTTGAAAGCCTCTCCTTTCCTTCCGGAACCAAATATTGTAACTTCAGAGTTCTAAAGAAATTCAGTGATCTGGCTCAACTCTTCCCTTTTGAAATGATAAACTGAGATCAGAAGCACACCCGAACTGGAACCCAGGGTGTTTTACACACTTACGACTATGTTCTTGTAAATGGTAGGATTTTGAGAGGCCTCAAGAGATTAACTCCGTAACCGCCCTCACCCCGCACCGAACGCTCGTAGAGACCCTGGGGCCCCGGGAAATGGGGGAAGCGGATGTCGCCCAGCACTCGAAGCGTTAAACTCAACCCAAGGTCTAACACGCGATTGGCCAAATACCGGGAGAAGATCTGGTTTTCGCAGCCGCGGGCCAATGAGCACCTCGAGTGGGAGGGTTTGAAGATACTAAGGAGTTTTTCCCCCCTTTTCTTTCCCCTCTCCACCCCCTCCTATCGGCCATCGCCCCCTGCCCGCCCCTCCATCCCCTACGCCGTCAGTTTGTTAAATTAATGCAGTAAGAAAGTCTGAAGATCTGGAGGAGTCCTGGCCAAAGGAAGATGGGCGAGCCCAGAGAACCGCGATGCATCTGAAACCCTGGGCTCCTGAGCCCCTCGGGGTAGCCATGGACCCTAGCAGCCCCTGAAACTTGCCCTGGGCTCTCTCCCGCCTGCAATCCTAAGCAATGGGACACCTTTCCTTCAGTGATCATAACTTATTCGGCGGGGACCAGAGAACAGGGATTGCACAGCGACAGCAGACCGGAACGGAGACAGGGGAGCAAGATTCTGGGACTCGATCGCGATGCGCCAGCCTGGCACACTCTCCGAGATTTAACTGAAGGCTGCGCCGTCAACCGCTTTCCCCTTGCCCCTGACCCCCTCAGGCCAGCCCAGAGCCATCAAGCCTTGCTGCGTCTACCCAAGATGCTCGCCCAATCTAAAGGTCCGCGGCCAGCCCTCTGATCTCCACAGAAGAATTTTGCCCTTTCACGGAGCTGGCCGTTTAAACAGAAAAACAGGGGTAAAAAAAAGAAAATATACCCACCCCCAAACGTGCCTCCCCAGCGCCGCAGGGAGCCAACAGACACGCTGGAGTTTAACAAACAGCAATACTCTTCGCGCTCCTGAAAAGCGGGGCTGGACGCTCTCCGTGGTGCTGAAACGCTACGCGGCCGCCGCTGTCCGTGGTTCCTACAGCCTCCTCGCTCCAGTTTCCCCTGAGGCTCTCTCTCCGCACCCCTATTCCTCACCTCCCCTTAACATCTGGATTATTTTTCCAATAGCTCTCGCTGGTTTTGTAAGTGCCAATTTGAAACATTTTTTTTGCCCCCGTAACTCGTGGACTACAAAGCACAAGGACCTGAAAAATGTACAGCTTCAATACTCTTCGACTCTACCTTTGGGAGACCATTGTATTCTTCAGGTATGCAATTTTCTACCGACCATATCGCTCTGTTGGAAATGGGGGGGAAGGAGTACAGACGCTTGACTCTGCCCGTGGTCCCATCATTTGGGGGAGGGGGTTGCTGTGTACCGCTGCAATCGGGTCCTTCCATCCCCCGCCCCCTTCTCCCCTCCCACCCCCCCGCCCGCAGGGTGTCTGGCTTGTGCGTGGAGGTCTGAGACAGTCTCAGCTCTGGCAGCTGTTTGCCTGTTTCTTGCGGTTTGTTTGTACTTCTGCCTGCTACACCCCGACATTGGTTCCCGGCCCCCTGTGCATATTAGCTTTCACTCGGTTGAGGACTTTAAGGGGAAGCTTTAGGAGTTACCCAGTTTAATTAGGACTGCATTCTCTGTAACCGCAGTGCCGAAAACCTCAGCTCTCCCGTCTGGGAGCCAAGTGACAACTAGCGGTGATAGGGAAGGTTGCACTCCAACTCGCTGGACACAAAACATACCATTTTCTATCCTTTTTGTTGTTGTTGTTTTCTTTTTTCTACGGGGGGACAGGGAGGGGTTTACTGAGGCTTAGTGCTAGGAAACAAGAGAGTTATGACCTCCGTTTGTAAAGCCCTGAACTTGGGTGCAGAAAGAATTTAAGAACAGATACTGTGAAACGTTCCCCCTATCAAACTTTGACTCTCTCCTTTCCCCTACCCACCTTTACAAACTACTCTGTTAGCAGCAGATCTTGAACTAATGGATAATGCCTCTTTGTTTTGTTTCTTAATTTATCCCTATCCTTGACTCTATAGCTGAGTTTCCCTATCCATTGTCTCCTACGTTAAATTTTTTCTGCCTACAGGCTTGGCATTCTTGTCTTAGTACAAGTGAAAAGTGAAAAATCATCTCTTTAGGAAGTATTGAAATAGATGGGCCTTTTGTAAGTGAATGAATCATGCCATCTTCAGAGATGGTTATGATAAATTCCATTTATATGAATTGAAAAAAATTATTCTTCTTCCACAGCTTGCAAGGATCATTAATTTTCCTCATTTTAGATGCCTGCTTCTCATGTTTTACCATGGCATTGGATTAAAAGACATTTGAAAAACCCCACTACAGTTGTTTCAAATAACTCAGTGACCACCAAATATTATCCTCTCCCATCATAAAACAGCAAATAATTCTTTTTTAATGCATTGCGTAAAAATTGTTTGTTTGATTACTCCATTGATTTGTCTATTAAATGAATGACGCCTCCCCCCAAAATTTTAAATTTCTATATGTAAGTCTCTCTCTCTTTATGTCTTTCTGTCCAGATGAAGACAAGATCCCCCTCTTCTCTGAGGTACCCAAAGTTCCAATTCTACAGTTTCTAATCTCTGGTTTGAATAATTGATTGTTAGGTCACTATCCTGACCACAGCTCAAAATGTAAATAGTCAAGTTGTCAGGTAGAATGAAAAAAGTACAGTAGTTCAAGGCCTTGTAAATTTTACCTACTTTAAAGCAGAAACTGTCCTCTTAATACTATCCGATCCTGTCCCCCCTTTATACCTGGTAGAACTGTGAAATGCTGTAGAGATGGGGTACTTGGTAACATTTGTATGCAAATTGATTCTCTGTTTGTCTTACCCGAGACAGAACTGAACCAGAGAGATTAAAGAGCAAATTAATAGGACCAAGCACATCGTTCTACCCTCTCTGTACTCCTTTTTTTCTTGATGAACAGTATGCGATGCCTGATTTTCCATTCCCAGACATTGTCTTTCACAAAAAGGAGACTCAGTCTAAAAGGTCTGCATTGTAATCATTTTGATAAGGTTACGAATCTACTGCTGCATTAATTCTTCAGGTAAACTGGTAGTGGCCTATCAGGAAGCATCAGTTTACATCTCTGTCCCCTACGTGTGTGAAGGCACACATGAGCTTCAATGGACGTAAGACACAATTCCATGTGTTTATCAGGAAAAAAAATGAGTCACAACTATAGCAGGCTGGAAAAGCAGTGGTGCCATGGCACTTTCAAAATATAGGAATAGATACTTCATTTGAGGAGCAACTCCATTTCTGAACCATAAATATGGGGAATTGAACCAGGGGAGTACCCTAAGCAATTTTTTCGGACAGATGAAAGAAAATAAAAGGTCAGAAGGAGGCAAACTGAGTAGATTGTCTTTCTTCAATGGGTATTTTCATTTCTCATTCTTTTATTTTTTTCAAATTTTAGATGAAAATAGAGAAGTATTAAAACCTGGAGACTTATTAAAATGGGTAAATGGGTGCTGGCAGCTCCCTAGAAGTCCCCGGTTGAATACCCCCTTCTCCCCTAAGGCGCTGCGTTGGGATGAACCAATCCAATTGTCCCAGGCACTCCTTAGATTAAGATATGCCAGCTGCCCACCTTGCTGAAAAAACGTGGGGGCTCGGAAAGCACTCACTAACAGAGGGGCTGCTGCTGCAACCTATAAGCAATGAAATGGCAAAAATGATAGCAAAACAAACAGAACAACAACTGAAGACAGAATCTCATGTGATGCCAACACAGAGAACGAATCAAAGCCTTAGAAAGGGAGACTTGGGGTCCTAGGAGACCAACAGCATTGCGGCGCTCATCAACTGTGTCCCTACAAGAAAAAGGAGGTGATTTGGCAGAAGTTCCTGCTCTGGTTTTTGTAAAGCCTGAGGTTCTAAAATACTGCAGGTGGCATTCTAGAATTCAATAAACTAAATTTTTTTCTCATTTGGGAGATGGAGTCTTATATCCAGACAAACCAAAAATAACAGACAAAAACATTTTGTTGTGATGATGGGAACACGTCCCTTTCAAACCATCTTTCAAGCCAGAGGTAACTTGGCTTTAATCCCCAGAGCCCTTACAGAGGCTTTTGTCCAGGACAGGTCTGGTAGGACCCCAAAATTCTTTTGCTTTATCAACAAGTCAAACAGACCCACAATAAATAGCATTTCTCCACTTCTACACTATTGGCATTTTGAACTGGACGATTCTTTGCTACGAAGGCTATCCTGTGCACTGTAGGATGTTTTGTAGCTTCCCTTCCCCTCCCACCTCCAGTCATGACAATCAAAAATATCTCCAGACATTGGGGGGAGGGCAGGAAAAGGAGACTCAATTGCCCAAGTTTTGATCTGCCATTTGAAATGACCAAATTTTTAATGATTTGCTTTTAACATCTGAGTTATAATAAGGAAGTTAAAATAAGAAATTCTAGCTTCCTTTAGAAAAATGTCCCCAAGGAGACATACAAACCCTCCCAGTGAAACAAAAAAAAGGGACCTAGCTTGTGTTTCAGAAGGGAATAAAGATAGGAAGATAGATGTAGTCTAATCTATGTGTGGCTCTCCCAAAACATGATCAGGTTTTCTTCATGTGCCCCTTCCATCTCCCATTCCAGTAAGATGGTATTTCGCACGGGTTTTGTATTAAATATGGTACTCATTTACCAAGAAAAGTCATTAGAGCTTGAAGGGGAGGTGTTTCAAACACACTAGGATCAAAAGGAACATGATAAGCACATTGTTTTATACTGCAGTCCTAAAAATAACTACCCAGTTGAAAAGTAAATAAACTTCCCTTGAGGTGGCCCTTCTGGCAGCTGGGTCTCCCAGCTTGTCAAGAAGGGCAGATGGGGGGCTGGGGTTGTGACCAGTGGTAGAGTGCTCGCCTAGCACACGTGAGGCACTGGGTTCTAACCTTAGCTTCACATAAAAATGAAATGAAGATATTGTGTCCACTTACAACTAAAAAATGAATATTTTTTAAAAAGGGGGCAGATGACCACCTTGATCTTTTTCTCTTGGTGACATAGTTATACCCTGCCTTGAGTCTTACTTGCTGCATTTTTGATACTGCGGAAAGTGTCTAAGAGCTTCTGAAATAGGCCAAGGACTTTTTCCTAAGGAAAGGGGAGGCTGCTGGGCAAGTTTGCATCAGGACCAACAAAAAATGTCAATCAGTACACCCTCCTTTTGGGTTTAGAAACCTTAACAGGGGTGGGGGGAGAGTCATTTTTTTCCTTCCCAAGTGTCAGCCTGGACAGGGACCCAAAGCCAGTAAATGGAGTTATGGATCAGCACACGAACATCTGCATATTTGCCAAACTGGTAATGACCTATCAGGGGACATTTAGGGAATTTGTGTTTGAGACTATCTTATGAAAGAGGTTGTAACTATATGGTGCGGTGAAAGAGCAGTGTGGCTATGATCTGAGAGCCCCTGCTTCTAGAGCCAGCTCTGCTCCCATCCCACAGCTTGGCCATAACAAGCTCCTTCCACGGTGAGGACTCAGTTTGCAATTCAAATGACTGAATCCAACCCTTGTAAGTTCCCTTCGGCCTCTGGCATGCTCTTTATCAAAGACAGGGCCCCAGACCCACAAAGGCTCAGGATGAATTGGTTCTAGTGGTGGCCCTGCCTTCATTTCTTCACCAGACACTTACTTAGCATGTGCATACGTGTCCAGTCCAAAGCTAGGCTCTCTGCAGGGCAGATGTCACAGTCCCTGTCCTTGCAGAAAAGGAGACACTTCTTCCTTTAAAGCTACACTAAAAGCGTCCTTCTCCTTCTTCAGAAGGCCCACAGAGCTCTCCTCCAGGCAGCCTGTGCGTGCGTCCTGCAACAGCGTCACATTTATGTGGGCGTCATTAACTTTATTTCCTTCATCAGCTGGCAGAAGCCAGAATGATTTTTAAGATGGATGGCACTGTCTCCCCGCATGGCCATCTTGATTCTATTCGCGGGTTTTAAAGTACGCGTTAGGCAAAGCCGCACTGGCCCAAAGGCCGCAGATCCAGGATCTAGAGTTTAGCTGAGTGTGACCTTGAGAGGGTTCTATGACCTTTCCGGCCCTCAATTTCCCCACCTGTAAAATGAAAGGATTTGACCAATCACTGTCTCTAAAATTATTTTTAGCTGTATCGTTCAACCTCTTCCATCACAGCACAGTTTGGGTTATAGCTATTGCAGAATATTTTAATTACTACCAAAAAATATATAGCCATACCAAGGTATATCCCAGGT